AAGGACGGGGCCAACAACGCGCTCTTGCCGTCGCCGACCAACTGCTACGTGGGCACGACGCTCGGGTGGCTCGCCTCCGGCGTCTGGACCGCCTGCCTCGTCGCGCAGCTGCTCAAGGACGAGTTCTACTCCAAGTGCCGCGGCCTCAGCATCCTCTGGGCGTGGATGAACTTGACGGCGGCGTCGCTCAACGGCCTCGCTGTCTTTTACTGGGGCCTCCCGCTCTTTGTCCGCGCGGTCGGCGTTGCCATGCCGCTTCTCGAGTGCCTCGTGCTGCACCAGCTGTACCGTTTCCGCGCCGTCGACCGGACGCCGCCCGGCACCTCGCTCTTGCCGCCGCCGCTCGACGCGACCCGCCATGGCGATGTGGTCTTTACCCAGCGCATGTGGCATAGCGCGATCAGTCTCTACGTGGTCTTGATGACCCTTGGGGTTCTGAGCTATTGCCACGTTTTGCCGATCGGCTTGCTGCTCGACGGTGGCATTTGGCTCGCGATTGCGTTTTGGAGCTGCGAAGGCTTTTTGCAAATGCACGTCAACTGGGCGATCGCGACGTGCGAAGGCCAGTCGTACTTTGCGTTGGGGTTGACGTTTTTCGGGAAATTGTGCGACTTTACGGTCCAAGCGACGCTCACGATGCCCGGGCGGTACCTTCTCTTGGCGTACTTTTCGACCGCTGCCGGCTTGCTCAACGTCGCCCAGTGCGTCTTCATGCTCTCGCAACGTGCCACGTCATCGCGATGGCCGGCGTACGGGCTGTTGCTCTTCATTGCGCTGTACCTTACGGGCTTTATGACGTATGTGATGGTCGCTGCGCCCTTTCCGATTGATGCGACGGCGCCGGACGCATGGGTGCACGCCGCGGCTCCGCGCTGGGTCGCGCTTCTTGGTCCTCTTGTCGTAGCGCTCGCAGCGAGTGCTGGCTACGTCCTTGCGCGCCGCCGTGGCATTCGCCCGATTGCGTTTGCGCCCGTGGAGTAAGCCGATCCAGATTTCTATAACGTGGTTCTGAGCTAGCCATTCTGCAATCCCTCCAATGGGCTGAGGCAAACTTCAAAACTTAAAATCATTGCACTTGTTGTTGGCGTGCGTGGTGGGTGTGGCGCTGCGTACGGAGACGGCTCCTTCCCGTGGTCGACCGCACACGAAACACTAGTACCTCGTACGCGCCGACGAGGCGACTCTGCGAAGGACGTGTGATCGACCTGGTCATTCGCACTACTAGAGTACTTATTACTGGACACTGCTAGACTCTGCTGTCGCAAAAGGCGCATAGTCGGTCGTAAACTTGATCGGGCGCTCGCTGTCGCTGAGCCAGATGTACGCCATGACGGCAATCGCCGAGAGGTGCACGGGCGTGAGCACGCGGCTCTTTTGCAGAAAAATCGACTGCCACAAGAACGCGTAGCTCATCGTGTTGGCGGCGGCCGCGACATGCGCCGTCGCGCGGTCGGGGCGGTTGACGGCCATGGCGTTCCCGGCGTAGTAGCAGTGGTGCCCCGTGAGGCCGACGAGACCTGCGAACGACGCCGTGTAGATGCGCGTACTTGTTTGGAAGATCTTGGCCGGGTTGGGCTTGGCGATGACGTTGAGAACGCTGGAGGGCGCGACGGCCTTGGACGCGAGGAAGCGCGGGAGCTCGCGTTCGTACTGCACCATGCCACCGAGGCCCCACGTGATGGCGGACCACCCTTCGAGGAGCTTGGCGACCATGTGTTCGTCCTTGTGGGCCATGGGCAGCGACGCCGCCACGTAGGCCGCGTACCAGTCCATGAAGCCCGACGCGACGATGATCGGATGGATGACCCGGAACATTGTGTGGGACGAGTTGTTGGGCGAGACAAGCGGCAGCGGTGGCGGCGGAGGTGGCGTCGTCATGGCGGTGGGATCGCAAACTGGTAATTCGCGACAATTGGTTGGAAAATGGGATGTTTTTTGGCCAATCGAAAGTGGCCGTTGTCAGCCACTTGTGAGATGACGTGGCATCGCCCTGCGCATCGCACGGCACCCGTACATCCTAATCGATCGACGTGGTCTCAATACGGCATCAATAGAGAGAGGTGCTGGCGCCTCGAGCTACTATTCGAGCGCAAGAGAGAGGCTGGCTAATAGGTCAACTACGTAAAGAGTACAGCTTTAACCACAACATGTACCACCCACGGCAACGGTCTTCTAGAAAAGCTACGTGCATACTGGTACACTGACGACTAAGGTACATGCATTGCATTTTGACGCCATTGTTCAGTCTCGGCTTGGTCATCAACTTGAACAAGGCAATTCATGGGGGCTTAGTATCTCGTCCCGGCTGCAACCGCGATGTAGAGCGACTTTGGCTAGTACTGTAGGTAGGGGCGACGTTTACGTGAGCGCTGGAGCACACACCGAGAATCCGTTCAGTCTGTCGTACCGAGGAAATAAATATAGGTGTTGATGTCCCAGTCGTGAGGCTCTCGTCGACGTTGGTGGTCATCGTCCGGTGTCGTGAGGCGCCAATCGCCTTCTGGGCCCATACCTCGCCAAGTGGCCAAGAAAAGATCAAGGCCCCTCTCACGACCTCCAAGATAGAAGGATTCCCTCGTTGGATGGACGCGTGCCGACCAAGAACCCGCGCAACGTGGCGTCCCGGCGGTGTATCGGTGTGAGACACCGATCCCTTAACATATTGCGGCTCATTGCAGCGTAGGCGGCTACGAAGGACACAGTGGGCAGTGGACAGGAACGTTGAAGTAGAAATGTCAGTCTACATGTATGGCAACTACACTGCGGGGGAGGAAACAAGGGGTTTTACTCACGTTAGTGCTGGTGTAAATGCGCGAAGCGCGATGATATAGGTAGCTCGAGCATGGCTCAAGCAGCTCGCTTGCACGTCACCCACGTTGCATCGGTTAGGACAGCCTCGGCTCCAGACGGCACTGTCTTCATATAGCAGCGTCCAAGAACCGTGCCTGGCGTCGGGTCTATGGCCCACGAGAACGCATTGCAGGTCGACGCTTTGGAGTTGCAGATATTGAAGCAGTCTTGCAAGTTGCCCGACGCATTGAAGGTGTCGCGTCCAGCGTAGGTGGCGTGAGCGGTACACGTGTAGCTCGCGGGGTACATGGTCGCAGAGAGAAAGGTGGTGGCGTTGGTTGACAACGTCAGCGGAGATGGCTTCAACTCGCACGTACTGGCGGGCCACGATGAGGTGTTGAAGGCGACGGCATAGCACTTGGGCTCGACAGCACATAGCGTGGTGCACTCGTCGAGCAGCGTCACGTTGGGTACCGACTTGATGGTCTTTCCCGTGACACGAGCGTTTTGAAGCACGAGCCATGCCTCGGCGTGTGTTGCTTTGGCCGCGCTGGAGGCATTGCGCGGCGTCAACACGATGGCGA